TCTAAGCATCCAATCTCTTTTCCAGAGTTTTTCTGAAAAATAACTCAATAGATACTCGCCACCTTGGTCAAAACTAAAGCAAAACTTTATCTAATTGATTCTACCTCATATTGTTGCAATGTCAAAAATCATCTCAAAACTTTTGCCTATGGGGAGATCATAGTAGTCTTGATCTCAGATGCGTATCGTAATCTATAAATGTGTCGAGATTGAAAGCTTAGCTATCATACCCTCACACACAATCTAGTCACAAAATATCATAGTGGACCTAAATGCCCGCCAAACAAAATGACCTTCCTGGCTTTCCTACTTACTGTGCGCACCCATTGCGAACCAGTTACCACAGTTCACATGAAGACAGGATTCATAAGCGAGTGGGCCGAGAAGGCTACTCAAACCATCGTGTCTTCATTCTCATTAATGTGAATAAGTATAATAAGCCCACGGTCATGACCATGTCATAAATAATTCAATCATCTAATGTGTGAGTTCTCAAGATAAGCTTTAAAAGGTTAGGCCCAACTAGGTAATGACTCAGACTAATTCATTTTCATAGATCATAAAAAGATGTCATGGAGATATCAACTGCGCCTAAGTCGCAAAATACTAGTAAGTGCTAATCCCCTGCACCTTCAAGTCAATTTTGATTCTCCATACACTTAATACATCTAGTTGAAAGATGACGATACTCCTCTTGCCATTCTATTTCTCGCTTCATAGTTACTTGCAATTAATTCTACTATCCACAAGAAGGAGAGAATAAGCTATCAACTATGACAAGCTCCTGAAGTTAACTTAAGCGCGAATTAGGCTAATAAGTTCTAATTCAACACAATGCTCTCTTCTCACGAGCCATGCGGTCAAATTCCTAGAGTCCATAACAACCTTGTCAGCCTTGACTTTCATTTTCACTTATGCCTGCAACGTTTGCGCTTAGTGTAAAGTTATTTAAAAACGTTAGCCTAGTAAGGAATTATACAAAGAAGCCCCTCTCATGTCTCACAACTAAGTGTGGAAACATAAGTGTCCAGACTTAGACAAGTTGCAATGCTAATAGATTTTGCAGCCACTGCGCTAATCTTTTCACTTAGTGTTAATAGATTTGCAGCTACTAAGCGCTATATTCTTTTTAATCTCTTTAAGCGACTACTTCAGGATATTCAACGCACACATTATAGTGCATGAAATTTTGCTCTCACTCCCAATAATTGGGTAGAGAGCAAACACTGCTCATACTGGCTACTCGTCTACACTTAATGACTAATTATTTAAGCTCGCATTTCGGGGATGACGTGACTCTTGAATGTTACTCATCCAATTATGTAACATTATTTACAAAGTCAAATTACAAAGTCAATCCGCGCAGCTCATTAGTCAAGTCATATACGAATCTATTGAGGGCTTACTAATTATTAACTCCAAAACTCGCCAACCAAACTATGTAGCGCTGCGCTAACTATAGCGCACACGTTAGTTTTTATTGTGCCAAAAAAGGAACAAAAACACGGCGACTTTGAGTCTCATGTTTCCTTACTTTGGCTCAATTAAGGTTTGACCTAAGTCTCCAAAGCTTTTGCTCATCTAAAAATGGGATTGTGTTTGTTTCACATTTGAACATCTCTACTAAGTCTAGGTCAACAAATTAACTTCCATAAGTTAAATCATTTAGAGAGAAATTCGCATTTGGGATTAATTTGATTAGCATAATATAATTTTGCCCAAAAAAACTAAATTAAATAGTGAAATATTACACAAGTCGCAAGATCGAAAATCCGCTATGCTCGTAATCATCTCTTGCGCCACAAGTGACAATTATCCAAAAATTTAATTTAATTTCGCGCACAAATATTGGTTTTCGGGAGTTAATCTTACAAAGATTTCTCTCAACCGAATAACCTCCCACTGACTATGGCATATACAAAGCATGATAAATTCCATACAATAGCAATCTTATGTAAATTTACAAATAACTCATGCTATATTCATTTAATAATGGAGATTCAATAAATAAATAAATAAATAATCATGGTCCTCTAATTACAACATATTACAAATTCACAAAAAATAGCCAAAATCTTTATTAACACTAAGTGAAAAGATTAGCACCAAGTGGCTGTAAAATCTATTAGCATTGCCAACTTGTTTAAGTGTGGACACTTACTGTTTCCACACTTGGGTGTGAGACATATTGAGGTGCTTCTTTGTATGATTCCTTAGCTAGGCTAACGTTTTTTTGAATAACATTTACCACTAAGCGCAAACGTTGCAGCATAGTAATGAAAAGGTCAAGGCCGACAAGGTTGTTATAACTCTAAAAATTTGACGCATCGCTTGTGAGAGTATTGTGTTGAATTAGACTCTTTAGCCTAATTCGCGCTTAAGTTACTTCAGGAGCTGTCATAGTTGATAGCTTATTCTCTCCTTCTTGTGGATAGTAGAATTAATTGCAAGTAACTATGAAGCGAGAAATAGATATGGCAAGAGGAGTATTGTCATCTTTCAACTAGATGTATTAAAGTGTATGGAGAATAAAATTGACTTGAAGGTGCAGGGGATTAGCACTTACTAGTTAAATTTGCGACTTAGGCGCAGTTGATATCTCCATGACATCCTTTTTATGATCTAGTGAATATGAATTAGTCTTGAGTCATTACCTAGTTGGGCCTAAACCTTTTAAGCTTATCTTCGAGAACTCACACATTAAGATGATTGGAATTAGTTTATGACATTGGTCATGAACCGGTGGCTTATTATACTTAATCACATTAATGAGATGATGACACGATGGTTTGAGTAGGCCTTCTCGGGCCCACTCGCTTATGACATCCTGTTCTCATGTGAATGTGTAACTTTGTTCGCAATGGGTGCGCACAAGTAAGTAGGAAAGCCATAGAAGGTCATTTGTTTTGGCGCATTTAGTCCACGATGAAATTTTGTGACTAGATATGTGTGAGGGTATGATAGCTAAGCCTCAATCTCGACACATTTATAGATTACGATACGCATCTGAGTCAAGACTATTTGATCTCCCATAAGTCAAAACTTTTGAGATAATTTTTGACATTGCACATATGAGGTCAAGATCAATTAGATAGGAGTTTTTGTGCTTTTAGTTTTGACCAAGGTGGCGAGTATCTATTTGAGTTATTTTTCAGAAAAACTCTGTGAAGAGAGATGGATGCTTAGAAAATTGATTATTCCTAGTACTCAACAACACAATGGTGTAGTAGAGATAAGGAATTAAATATTGTTAATGTTATGTGGATAATGGCGCAAACTGTTTTCCAATTGGGAATTGCACTAGTTTGTTGCCTATATCCCTAACTAAGTGCCCTCCATATCAGATTTTACACTCCATTTGAGTAATAGGTTAGTGGAGAGCCATCTATGGGCGATCTGTAACCGTTAAGCAGCTTATCTTTATTTTATTTCTCATAAGATTGTGAAGTTAAGACCTAGGGTTCTATAGCGCATTATTGTATGCTGTCTTGTAAACACAAAGGGTCGTGTGGCGCATTATTGTATACGGTCATGCAAACCCTCCAGGTCATGTGCATATAGGTAAGCAGCTTTGTGGTAGTGTAACTAAGTCACATAAAGTTTTATTAGTAAAGGTGACGTGAATAGAGTTTTTGGAACTTTATAAGATAGAGAATTCTAAGCATAGCGCTCTATGTAGCTTAGTTGAGAATGGAAAGAAATTTCCAATATCCTAGGGACAGTGGGAGCGATGTGCCTACTAATGGATTACTCCATTAGAGAAGAATACTCTACATTCTTAGTTGCGTGGTAGCAAATGTGAAAATTTTTCACGCCATCACTGGGTGATTGAGAGGGAAACATTCATGATTGCTCCGCAAGATGATAAAGAGCCTAGGATAATGCCAAAGGCTCTAGTCCCCTGTTTTTAAAAAGTGGATCGATGTTGCGTAGTTTAAGACAAAGTCTTTGAGAATTAACCATTTTTATAATTTGGTTGACTTTCCATTATGACGCAAAATTGTTCTAAATTTATGCGTAATTTGGATAATCATTGTTGAGGCATAAGGCTCGCTAGATACCGAAAAGTCGCACCATTGAGGAAAGTGTAGACCATGAGAAGACTTCCTCCTGGGGAGTGAGGTTATTTTGACTTAGGCTATGATTGACATAAGTTTGGAACATTGATTTGTGGACATTGTGACCCGATTTCTCATTAGAGAATTGGATAAGTATATCCGTAGAGATTTACCTTCTGCTTTTTTGATGAAAAGTTAGGAGCGCAAAAAGGTTGCTAGTTCCAATAAATCTTTTGCAGCCTAAAGCAGTTATCCAAACAGTGGTTCTTAGATTTCGTCAAGCCATGATAGGCCAATGATGATCGATGAAGACCACTGAGGCATGATCAATGGTCCAAAAGAAGTTTTTCCTTACTTAGTCATTATGAGCCAGGAATTTATAAGGTTGTCGCCACCTAGGGTGGGCAGTCCTCTATTTTAGATATGATGGACATGGGTGATGTAATTTATATGCTCGGATGTACGATCCTTAGGGATTGCTTTGGGAGAATTCATGTTTTGTCTTCGATGACTTGCATAAGGAATATCCTAGAACGATTCTAGATGCAAAATTACAAACCCATTGACTTACTTATCAGTAAAAGCCAGAGCCTTAGCTATTAAGTGAATCCTCGGATTGTCTTTGGGAGAAACAGATGACCTATATTCCTCGATCTTTTCTTTGTTGTGGGAGCCTAAAGTACACTATGTGGGCGTATTCGGCATGATAAGTGTTATCTTTGATAAATGGTTAACTGAGTTGTTCAGACTTTGACCTTGCTCATTAGACTGTGGATAAAATGCTTTATTAGAAGCATATTAATTTGCTCATTGTAAAATTCAATGCACTGGTTGGGCGCATCTGCGCTAGTTGGGCGCATTAAGAATGAACACAAATTGGTCACCAAAAATATCTTTAGAGAGGTAATTGCGCAAGAGGTAGTGATCTTAAATCATTTCAAATAGCTAAGCCTCAATCTCGACACATTTATAGATTACGATACGCATCTGAGTCAAGACTATTTGATCTCCCATAAGT